GCTGGGTGGTGTCGTACAGAGCGCTGCGCGATCACATCAACATTTCCTGCGGGGGCTGTTGTGGTTTTACACCCCTGGCTACCAGCCAGACACCACAGCCCCTCGCTCACCCTCCCCCCCACAGGGATGGTGAGAGAATGAAAGGGGTGAAGGGAAGAGACTCAGGGGTTGAGATAAGAACAATTTAATAACTAAGCTACAATAATACTGAAAATAATAATGAGGATAGTAATTATAATGATAGTAATTATAATATACAAACGGGTGATACACAGCGACACGCTGCTCACCATCCAATGACCAAGGCTCAGCCCATTCCTGGCCAACGATCCTGGAGCAGGGAGAGTCCCAAAACTGCAATCCCAGAACACAGAGAAGAGCCTGAGTGTCCCAGAGCCCAAGATGACCCTGAGAGGGGTGACCCAGAGTGAGACAACCTGGAGCAAGAGAGAGCCCTTCTGGACAGAGCCTCCCCTGGCCATGCCGGCCATGATATGGAACAGACCATCGGCCAGGTTGGGTCTCAGTCCTAAACCTGAGGGCAGATCCTGGGCTGGTCACTGGGGCTGTGCTCCCTCCCAGCTCCTCCTGCCCCTGCAGACACGGGCGCAACAGAGAAGCTGGAAAGTCCTTGACTGTCCTGGCAGCAGCTCTGCCCATCAGTGTGTGATCAGCTTCTCCTCAGCACAAACCCAAACACAGCCTCACACCAGCTGCTGGGAAGAGAGGTCACTGTCCCAGCTGAGCCCAGGACAGGGGCTTTCTGGCAGCGGCTGTGCTGACGGGTAGCTCTGAGCGGAGATGACGGAACTTAGAATGTTTCTCGTTCCATTTCAAAACCTGTTTTCAGCTGAACTGCCAGGGCTGGGTTTGCCAATGTTACCAATGTAACCTGTGCTACGGTTAGCAGGTTTTTGTGTAGGTGATTCTGATGGGCATAGACTCTTGTTTGTGGCTTTGTTGCCTCCCCAGCCTCCCCCTTGACACACGCAGAGCTGTGTGTGCTCTTTCCTTTCTCCCCCTCCCCTAGCTGACACAGCTGTGCTGGCAGCCTTGAGATAAAACGAGTGTTTCCAGGCCTGTGGCTGAAAGAGAGTCAAGGAGAAAAAAAGCAAAGTGATAAAAGGTGAAAAGCTTACAATATATACAGTTTGGGAGTGTGGGAATGAGGCACTGTTGGTTAGCAAAAACGTAAGCTGACCTTCAGGTTAGAGAATGATTGTAGACAAATGAGGCAACATTGCGGAAAGCCCTACTGCAAGCTTGAGAAGCAGCAGGTTCAAAACACCATGTAGTGGAAAACAGACAAAACCTAAAGGTCAGTAGACTGTAAAAGCCAAACAGAGGTTATGTAATCTTTGTAATAAATTGGGAGCTTGCATACAGGACCGTAGTGTCTGCTCTCGGCAGTGCTCCCCCTTCAGCAGAGCTGAGTGGGTTTGGTGTGTTTCAGCGCATTGTCCCGATCCTGGTGGGAGGGAGGTCAGCATGGGAGTCTATCAAAATAAATGGTAAAACCATATATTAATGAAATTAGTTGTTAAGGAGTAAATATGTTGCATTTTGGCTTTTGAAACAGTTCAGAATAAAGGAAGTTAGTTCAAGCTCAAAATAAAGCAGACTTTGTTTTTCTTTTAAGTTTAATTCAGTTTTTTAGCAAAATGAAGAAGTGGATGGACATGTCAAATCTACCACAGGAATTCCGAGAGCGAGTAGAGAGGCTGGAGAGGAATTTTGAAGTGTCTACTGTGATTTTCAAAAAGTTTGAACCAATATTTTTGGATATATTTCAAAACCCTTATGAAGAAACTTCTAAACCACAGCGAAGCAGGAAACAGAGGTATTTATGAGATTTAATGTGAGTTTTCCTTGGAAGGGGCTACACCAAATACAGATTTATGAAAATTAAGATAATTATTTGTGCTTTAAAAAGTTCTGTAAAGTTTTGAAGTGATGGGGCCTCTCTGTGGCCTTGATTCTGCAATGCAGTGATACAGAAACATCTCTAATTTTGATGGGCTCCAGCTCATATCAGCAGAGCTTTGCCTCCGGTGGCTGTTTGTGCAGCTCACTGTAACGCGCAGAACCTGGCCCGTGGGCGAGGAGAGGTGCGGTGAGATGGGTTAACCTGAGAGACTGCGACACCAGCACTTAAAACATTTAGCAGAAATAACTTCAGTAGCACAGGGATGTCTTGTCTTGGCAAAGCACTGGCTGAGGCGTTTGGGATCGTTACACAATCGCTCCCTACAAAGTGGTGTCACATCCGCGGTGACTCGGCGTTACCGGATTTTTAACGTGATGGCCAGGTGAGCGCTGACACGCACACGCAGGGGAGCGATGGCTGCTGCGCTCATTTTTATGACAAACGAACTGGTGGTGTCGTATGCCAGATGCACCCAAAACTTCTGCCTTAGTTAAAGCTTGTCCACGTTCCTGCCGGCTGCAGCCGCCTCTGTGATAGCTGTATGGTGAGCGTGTATCTGTAATGACGAGGGAACCGAGCCGGGTCTGTGCAAGGTGTTTTTGCCGGCTCACGTGTGTCCTCTGGACATGAGGGGGGTAGCTGTTCCAGGGAAACGCTCCAGCACAGCTCCACAGCAGCAGGTAGGGAGGATGCTGCTGCTGCTACAGCTCTTTGTGCCTGGCAGGCAGCTTTGTGAGCATTGCTGTGTGCTGGGAGAAATGTCGGTGTGCTCTGTTCCTGTTCCTTCATTGGAGCAGCGTTCGGGAGTGTAACCACAGCTTGAGCTCCTCCGTGGGCTGTCTTGAGGGATGTCTTCCCTGGTCTTCAGCCCCATGGTTTTGGATGATCTCTACTCCAAATGCAGCTCAGCAGATGAGCTGTCATACAGGCTGTAGGTGTGTATTTTGAAGGGGTGAGTGATGCTTTAGTAAAATATTTAGGAAAAACTGTCACTGGAATTTCTATAGCCCTTGGCACCCCACCATGTGGAGCCGCGGGGGGATCCTGTTAGAAGTGTGACACCAGCAAAGCAGCGTGGCCGCGGTGCCAGGCCAAAGGCAGCCCTCAGCTCGGGAAAGGGCCAGGGGGTTGGGGATGCTGTGCGAAACGCTCCGTGAGCGAGGCAGGAGGCTGGCGGTTAGTGAAAGGTGAGGTAAGGACATGTAGCTTGGATTGTGCCTTAGTGTGAAATTAAGATAGACAACGGCTCTGACTGTTATTTTGGGCAAGGAAACAGAATGAAATTCATATTGTAAAACAAGCTTCAGCTTCCTGGAACTGCAGGCTGACTTCTTCCCTCTTTTCCTCGCTGACAGGCGGGTGCCGTGCGGTGTTAAAGATCTCTTCAACTTCTGCTGGACGCTCTTTGTGTACACGAAGGGTAGGCTTGCTTTTTTTAGCTGCATGGTTTGTGTACGTTCTGAGTTAGGAACTTCTTTTTTTGTTGCTTACTGTGCTGTGCTCTCTCTTAAAGGTAATTTCCGTATGATTGGAGATGATTTAGTAAATTCCTATCATTTGCTTCTGTGCTGCTTGGACCTGATTTTTGCAAATGCCCTTTTGTGTCCAAATAGAAGAGATTTGTTAAATCCATCGTTTAAAGGTATGGTGGGGACAAATTATTTAAAAACAAATACGCTCTTGGTTCTCTTGGTTTTTTTGAAGTTAAGTTGAAGGTTGGTTGTCTTTTTTCTTTTTTTTCCCCCCCTCCTCCTTCTTCTCAGGCTTACCAGCAGACTTCCACGCAACAGAGATCAAAGCCCCCGAAGATCCTCCTTGCATCATTGCCACTCTGTGTGAGCTGCATGATGGGCTTTTAGTAGAAGCAAAAGGAATAAAGGAACACTACTTTAAACCATACATTTCAAAACTATTTGATAGGAAGGTACATCTTACTAGTTTTAAGAATGCATGGTAGTGGTTGGTTGAATGATCTTGAGACCATTTAAATCCTGGAGGTTCTGCAGGAGACTACACCAGCAGGCAAATGAACTTGGCCTGGGTCAGGTTTTCTTTGTACGTATTTTAGCAGGAGCAGAACTTACTTTTAATGTTCTGTGCTGTAAGGTCCCTGGTGTTTTAGCTTTTTCTGTCAGTGGAGAATCTTCACTTTCCTTTCTTGGCACTGTGAAACTGAATCGTGGATGATGATGTTTTCTTCAGGCAAAAAAATAATGTCATTGTGAGATAATGTTGTGGGGTAACTGTCACGATAGTGTGGGTCCCACTGCTTGTCTCAGAGTTGAGCAAAATGCTTTGAAATTAAGAGGTTGAGGCTGCAGGTTTTTCTGTCTGGTTTTGACCCTGGAGATTTTTCCCAAGCTCTGTGGAAGCTTCTGTGTAGTCATTTGTCAAGTCAGTCCCTGACCCACCAATGGAACAGATGTTAAATTGCAGATGTTTCTGAAGAGGGGGTTTGTCTGGGGCTTGGATAGAATTGGGCTTTGTCCTCATCTGCCTGTCTTACTCATGGCATTGTAGTCCTTTGGCCTGGGCAAAAAAGGAGTCCAGTTATGCTCCTAAAGCTCATAGAATCACAGACTGGTTTGGGTTGGAAGGGACCTCAAAGCCCACCCAGTGCCACCCCCTGCCATGGGCAGAGACACCTCCCACTAGCCCAGGTTGCCCAAAGCCTCATCCAGCCTGGCCTTGAACCCCTCCAGGGATGGGGCATCCACAGCTTCTCTGGGCAACCTGGGCCACTGCCTCACCACCCTCATTTCCTTTTTGGCTAACACCATCATGCCCTCACACTGTTAGAGCTGGAACCATTTTGATTTTATTATGTAAGATATTTCTGCTTTTTGTTCTTAGATCTTAAAAGGAGAATGTCTGTTGGATCTTTGCAATTTTACAGAAAATAAGTAAGTTACAGCTTATGTTCTTAATCGTGGGTTTGGTTTAATTTCTAAAATACAGGCCTTGGAATGCTAAATCTCCCATTTTCATGTTCCTTTATCTTACCATAACTAATAGCTTTTAATTATTTGACAATCAGAGCTGCTCTTTGTCTGGAATGCTGCTGGATCTGAGATGTGTCAGATGTCAGGGGGTCAGCTGCAGAGTTTCTTCCTTAATGTCAGGTTTTATGGTGCTTGCCCTTGTCTTCTGGCAGCTGCAAACTCTGAGTGATCTAATGCAAATCACAACCTTGGCTCTGAAGTTCACAGATATGTTTCCATATGCACCTCAAATATCACACCTGAGGTGGGAAGTCTTCAGATTCATTTATCAGTCTCCAGTTGAGTGTATAAATCTGTGAATGCAACAGAAGTACTCAAAAGAAAAAGAAGCCACAATTGCAAAACCACAAAAAAGAGGTAGAGCACTTCTGTGGGAGGCAAGTGTAGTTGTTTCAGAAACTTTTAAAATTCACTTCTGAAAGCTGTTTTACATGCAAAATATGAACAGCAGATGCTTTGTTCTGGATCCCTTAAAGGGTTTTTTTGGCTTTTCCAAAAATACCTAGTAATGTATTTTTGCAAGGTGAGTTTCTAACTTGTTGGTTTGCCTTGAGAATTTTGAGCAAAGACTCAGTTATTTTAACAATGTAGATAACCCTCAAATTTACATATAAAACAGTGTTGCTGTGATCCATTTGAACTTCTCTTAGTATTTCTACTTAAAAATTAACAGAATTACTTTATTAATAGTTATGTGGAGTGGGAGTCCCTGTTCTTTTGTAAGCAGCTTGACATATAAAGTTCACATGGAAGCCTCTCTGTTTCTTTGCTCAAACTTTTCATAGACCTTCACTTTTTCTAAAAGACATGGGGAAGGTGAGCCTGTGATACAGTCAGGTTTCCTGGGGGATCACAGAATCACTTGCATCCTGAATACATTGTTATGTTCCATTAATGTACACGCTTAAGTGGTAGCTTGAATTGCTAAGGCACTTTGCAGGCAAAAGATACTCATCGCATTCATGTGTCATGAAAAACGTGGAGGCAGGATTTATTGATGTGAGCTGTTTCTGGTTTTTATCCAAAAGTTTCTTTCATTTAATTTCATTAATTTAAAGTTTTGCAACCTTCAAGAGATTAAATATTCCAGTTTTCCAGTTGGGTTAGCTGGAGAAAAGAAAACAAAAGATTTGTTCGGTATTGTATGTCAGTGGTGATTTTAGAAATTGAATCCGGGGACTAGCTCTTAAATTTCCCTTCCTCTGTGCCATTAAGAATACGAAGTGACAAAAGTGGACATCAAATGTAGGTCATTTAGTGTAACCACCGTTCACGTGCTCCACACATACAGAGATCTAACCTCTGATCAGTTGAGTACTTCCAAACCATTTTATTTGCAACTGGGATGGAAGCAAAGCTGTTTTTCCTCTTCTTACTGAGAGCCAAGTGTTGGTGGTAACTTAGGAGGGGGACTGGTCCCTGCAGCAGATCACCGAGGGAACAGGGGAGGTTTTCAGTCCGAAGGAAGGCGGGGACGACCACAGGCAGGTTGCTTGGGGCGGTGAAGCTCTGTTTGCAAGCAGCACTGCTGCTGAAAGCGTTAAACACTTTGAACACACGTTGGTTTTGGCTTTGCACCTTAGCTCTCCTGGCACCTCTCTTGTTCCTTCAGCAGTTTAACCGTTGACTGAAAACCTGGGCTTCTCTTTCAGCAAAGCACTGAATAAAGAGTACGAAGAGTACGTTCTGACGGTGGGAGACTTCGACGAGAGGGTTTTCCTTGGAGCTGATGCTGAAGAAGAGATTGGCACTCCTCGGAAATTTCCTGCGGACGTGCCTGTGGGGAAAACAGCAGCAAGAGCTCACGTGGAGTGTCATCTTCAGCAGCATTTTGAAAAGGTGATTTGTTTGACGTGTTTAGCTCACTTGAAGTACCCCTTCAAGTTCTTCCATCCTTCTATGCTATTTGAGTCACTGAGGTGACTTTGTATTTCTTGAACTTCTTTCTGAGAGGAAGATGTTGAACGTCATTCACAGGCTTCAATGGATGCGAAGGAGGAATGTTGATGTCTTCTTTCCTGTGGAGTTTAGCAAATAGCTATCCCTTAAACAAGATGAGAGCGCTTTCATTTGTGAAGTAGTCTGGTTTTGTCCAAGAAAAAAATCAACATGTAGTTAAGACCTAAATATATAGGTCTTCTGGTTTTGTTCAAATTTCATTTATACCCCATAAGAATATAATGAAATCTTTGTGCTGGATTAATTTGTTTTACTGATATTTCATTTTTTAGGACAGGAAAAGTCAACGTGTGCACTGTTCTATGTTAAATAACATACAAGACACAAAATCCACCAAATAACTCTTTGTTACAAAAAGTAGCCTATAAACAGAGTTCAGGTTTCACAGTGTTTGAAAATATACAATGTATTTAATGAAATCCAGAGGTGGGAGAACACTTGATTACTTTCTAAACTTGGATTAGGGGAAAAAATGGTGTTGGCTGTGTGAAAGAACCACATGCTGTTTGATTTACATGTCATTTAAAAAATAAGAATACTGATTACAAGATGCTGGTGCTGGTGTAAATGTAAGTGTATTTCATATTGGGACAAATAAAACACGGGTTTGGAATGGGTTTATCAATTCTGAACTTCAGTTTCTGTGGTATAATAATGACGTTATTGCTATTTATGCAGACTGACTGCAGGCAGACCCTTTGCTCATTATTTGCCTTGTATCTTCAAAATGTAGTCTGTTCTCATAATTCAAACCCAAATACTTCACTGCATCCCTTCCAGAAAGCAGGGTACAGATGGGTAAGTGCAGATGACACAGCTCCATCTGCTTAGTGCTGCATCATTCTTCGGGGAAAGGGAGGCTAGAGGTCCACCAGGACAGCGTTTCCCAAAGTTCATTTCCCAGTGGCCCTCTCTGAGGCAGCTCTGCCCTGTACTCCTCATGTCCCTGAGCTACTGCAGTCAGTGACTGTGAATGGAAGCATACACTTTCCCTTCCTTGCCCTGTATTTTTCAATGTTCAAACAAGCTTAAAAATTTATAGATTTTTAAGGTTAAATGTCTTGTTTTCCTATATTTTATTTTTAAAGAAAACCTTTGAGTTATTTTGAGTCTGCCTGAAGATTTGTTATATTTTGTATTTGTGGAGTCCTGGGAAAACTTGAATTGATTTTTAGTCAGTTCGGATGTCACAGGTTTGATGGCAGCCTTCAGGTAGCGTACTAGTGGTGTCACTTTAACCTTTGGAGTGATTTTGCAGGAGTTGCTCATTGGAAAGGTTTTTGAAACAGTTCTGTTGATGGAGTTTATATATTATTTTTCTCTGTCTGACAGAAAAGGTCATTTGCACCTTCAACTCCACTGACTGGAAGAAGATACCTACACGAAAAGGAAGCTGTCATCACTCCTGTTGCTTCAGCAACACAAAGCGTGAGCCGGTTGCAGAACATTGTGGCTGGATTGAAGAATGCACCCAGTGAACAGCTTATCGCTATTTTTGAGTAAGGATGTCCACTGCAGCTGCTCTCATACAAACGGAAACTCTTCTTTTCGTGCTTGCGGCTGCTTTCTTGCTCAAATTTGACTTTTTTTGTTTGATGCAGAATATTTTTGTCTGTGTTTCTGTATTATTTCTGTTTGAAAGATCTTCTGTTTTCTCGATTATCTCCTCTTCTGGAGAAGGATAGCTGAACATACCCCCCCCCCACTTGCTGTCACCATTTTATTAATGCAGCTTCAGTTTTTACTAATGTTAATTTAGCTGTTTGTCTGCTTGGAAGCCAAATACTTTTGTTCACCTGTTTTGTTTTTTTTTTTAAATTTTAAACAAGTGTGGCTCAATTAAAAGCTATGGTAACTATGTTAGCAGAAGTTTGGGGAGAGGAGGGAGATGTTAGAGTCAACAAGCTGTAATCTTTGCCTTAAAGACTTGGGGAGATAAGACTAAAAGCAGCCTAAAGACTTCCCGTTTCTCCTTCATACTACTTCAGGGTATCTTAATCTAACTCTATATGGTCTAGCAGTGACCATAATTGTTGTCAACACTGATCTCTTGTAGCAGCAGCTGTGTTCTCCGCTTCTCTAGTTGTTCTGATGGCCGTTCCCTGAGCATCCCTCAGCTTATTGGCTTCCTCCCTGAGCCCTAGGGCAGGCATTGCTGCAGGAGTTAGAGCATTCCTCATCGAGAGCCTCTGGCTCAGCCCTTACAGCTGCTGTACGATACTGGGAAATCGCAGTGAGGGACTGCTGAACACAACCTCAGTCTTCCATGGTCACTGTTGCCAGGACAGTCCAAGTCACGCACACCAACCTGTGCTTTTGCCTCCTGGACACGACTGCGTGCTGGCTGTAGTGAAATGCACGTGAAAATGTTGGTGCGTAAGCAGATGAGTATAAGCAAAATAGTTTATTGGTAAAAGATAGATTGGTGTTGCTTCATAGCTCATAAAAAGCAATAATTTAATAGTAAATACCTGTGAAGCTGTTGGGTGTTTGCCTAACATCCATGCAGAGTCAGGCCTTGCTGTATTACGGTGTGAGGTCTCCAGATATCTTTTTTTTCTTAATCAGAATGGACATTTAGTATTAGCACTTAATATTTGAAGTGCAAAAGTAATTTTTTTTTTAAAGCAACCTTTATAAATAGATGAAAAAGAATACTTTTAGTTTTCATCTTTGGAGTTATGTATGCTTTGAAAGTTTTCCTAGCACTTGTTCTTGAAAGTTTACAACTGCTCAGCAAGATGCATTTCTATTTTGAATGTTTCTTAGATTGTTTTTTAAGGACTGTTTGATATATTACCCAATTAAAACATCGACGTGTCTGCAATCTCTAATGACAAATGTGTTTGTTCAAGTAATAACCCAGTCTGTCAAGAGAGATGTAAATATTAAAATGGGGAAAAGAATTGAGTAAACCTCTGAAAAGAAATGTGTTGAGTACTTTGCTCATCTTGGAGATGAGTTCAGCAAGCAGGGGAAAGCACTGTGTTTGGATTACGTGTAATACTCCATGCTTTTGAATTTTTTCTTTTTCAAATTAAAATTTATTGGAAACATAACTTTGAAGTTAAATAGAAGGCTTTGTTCGATGAAACCTTAGTTTATTTAGTGCTAGCTTCTCCAAATAGTTTAGTGTCTTAGTTTGACACTAGTCACAAGCCGCTGTCCTCTGATACAGGGCTGCTGGTACTTCTGGAAGTGTTCAGAAAGATCATCTCCAGAGAGAGAGATTCTCTGTCTCCTTTTTATGATAGTGACTGTGTGGAGTTCATCAGTTCCTCTCTGCCTTGCTGGCAAATAGGTTTGGTTTTTTTTTTGGAAAGAGGCTGCCTCTTCGCTTTGAAAGCTTTCCTGTACTCCCTCAAACCATGTCTGGTTCATAGGATCTCATGGATGTTTGGTTCCCTGTTATAGCATCCTTCCTCCTGCCTTGCTCCTAGCAGATACAGTTTTCTCCTGAGCATGCTGCTGTAGCTCTTGCTTTCTCCTGCATTTGTTCCAAAGTCTACATGGCCTCTCTTAACGCTGTTAGGAAAGATAAAACATACAGAAATAGTTTCCTTTTTATGTTTTCCTCTGTCCTCTATGGTAATACAGGTTATTGTCTGGTGGGAAAAGCTCAGTATAACTAGCTTCTCTTCTTTTTGTTTGGTGGGGTTTTGTTCGGTTGGTTTTTGAGGGTTTTCTGAAGCTGGCTATTTATTTCTACAAACAAGGCTTTCTCTTTGTGTTCTGCTTCAGATCTTGTGCACGCAGCCCTACAGAAAGCATTATGAGCAGAGTGAAAGAAATCGGTGAGATGTTCTGTCGCAGCTACACTCAGTCAACAGACAAGCAGCCAGGATCTCATATCGGTATGGATGTGAAACGTGTGGGATGTTTCAAGATATTAAACTAGGGCAAATGAAATGCATACATATACCATCATCTAAATATGTAATACAGTGGAGGTGCTTTTAACCCAGAACGTATCCAAACTGAAAACTGTTGCTGTCAAATAGAACACTGTAAATAGTACAACTTTATTGCAGAGTAAAAGCAAAGTTGCAGTTCAAAATAGGATAATGAAGAGAGCACTGAAACTGTATCAGCTCGTAACAAAAATTGGGAACTTGCATTCTTCTTAGATTTAAAATTTAAAGGAAACGGAATACAAATAGGAGGTTCGTTATTGCAGTTGTCTGCAAAATTACATCCCTAGAAATATTAAAATACGTAATCCTTTAAAACATTTCTAGAATATCGTGCTATTCTTCTGACTAGTGGATTTCTGAACATAGTTTTTTGATTTGCAAAGTCTATACATACACACACATGCACTGTTTTCTTAGGGAAGGACGCGTACTGGTCAGTTTCGTCTAAGACCATTCGTACAAACAGCATTTGGCTTCATCTCTGGTTTTAAATTTCAGATTTTGCTGTAAACAGATTAAAACTGGCAGAGATCTTGTACTATAAAATCTTGGAGAATATAATGGTGCAAGAAACACGAAGACTACATGGGAAGGATCTGACTGTAAGTAAAGAATTGGCAAAAGAGGAGAACACTGTTTGTAACCCTCTCTAGGGGGTTGTTTTCAGATGGTTCCAGAACAGAGCAGTCTGCAGTAAAGCTGTCAGTGTACATTGGTAATATTAAAAAAGGCTAAATATATGGGAGGTTCCTAAATGTAGTTTTTACTGCTATTAAAAATGGTATAATTCTGGTATAACTCACCAGCTTAATTTGTGTTGCCTTCTAGAATCACGGCTCTATGGACAGATATCTTTTATTCTCTTCATTATCCAGTTAACAATCTCAATGCTTCATGTTAGACAGCAATGCATTTGCTCTGCTTTGTGATTCACAATAAGGAGGCAAATCCATTCATTCAGAGTATGGAAAATGTGATGGTTTTGGCACTGTTAGTCTGCTAGTCTTTACCATTCTAAACTTCCCTCCGATCACTGACATTTTTTTGTAATCTCTTCAGGCTCTCTTGGAACAAGATGTCTTTCACCGCTCTCTCATGGCATGCTGCTTGGAGATCGTGCTTTTCGCATATAGCTCCCCTCGTACCTTTCCCTGGATCATTGAAGTTCTTGACCTCAGGCCATTCTATTTTTATAAGGTAAGTAAGTCCTGTCTTAGGACTGGGTCTGTGTTGAAAATGGGACGTTACTGGATCAACAGTCTTAAGAGGATGATGCTCTTCCTTCTTAGGTAATCAACTAGGAGAAGGACTGATGTTCATGTGCAATATGCCCGCTCTAAATTCTGTCTGTCCTTAAATATAGTACCTGGAACGTGTAACGCTGGAGTTGAAGCTGAAGTTTAAAGCAAGAAAAGTATTTTGTAAATGGTACTTAACTGTAACATGCTGTTGATCAGCTTTTAGTTTGTGATACGTATATGCTTTTAGTGGACTAAAGCATTCAAGCATATATTTTGATGATATTCATATTTATTGACTACAAGCTATAGTTCTGCTTATTAGGTGATAAAATAGCAATAATATCCTTTGTTGCCTTTGGCTACTGCTACCTATTGAAGGCTTGCTTTATGAAATTTTATTTTCTTTGTTCTGTTTTGTAGAACAGAACATAAATCTCTTCCCTGGGTGTTCTTGATTTTTTGCTCTTTTTTAACCTTTTTCCCCAATGCCTCCAGTGTCATTTCTGTTCTTTGACTTGTTTGATCCTTTTATCATCTGTCCAGATGCTTCCTATTTTTACTAGATACCTAACAGCTTACTGCTGTTGGTCTGAAATAAATCAGAGGTAGTTCTGTTTAGATGATAACAACCAAAAAAATTGAGCCCTTTGGGAAAGCTGCTTTATATTCTGTTCTCTCTTCTTTAATCCCCAGATGTAGGGCAGTCGTGAAACTGACACAAATCTGTGTCGGTATTGCTGTGGCTGTTGGTAGCCTACATCAGTACCAGATGCACTGGTGCAGATCCAACAGATTTACGTTTGATTTGCATTTTCTTTGCTATCTAGTGTACGTTCTTGCAGCACTTGTACTTGAAAAAAATTGCCATCATGAAGATCTCGCACGAGAGAGCCGATATTTTTTTATTCCAGTTGTGCCGTTTGAAACTTTGTTCTTTGGGTGCTTAGTTGCTGTAGCATATTTAGGTAAACACATCAACAAGCCCTCCAGAGAAGTTTTATGGTGTTTCCATCTCTGGAGCTTTAGAAAAAAAAAAAAACAGGCAAATGTTCCCTTGTCAGAAATACCATAAATAAAGCAGATCTTACGTTGGAGTGTAGGGGTGGAGTATGGTATTTCAAGGGCCCTTTCAACTCTTTTCAGCCTCGATCTGTACACGTTAAGGGTTCTGACCTTTTCTTAAATAAAACTTGAAAATGGTGGTTTTCAACCCTTTTTGTTATTTGTTTGAAAGGAAGAAAAGCTGAAATGCTGGGGTTCCCTCATAGCCAACCGAAGCGGATATACCTGCTGCTGTCTTTGTAGATAGACATGCATGTGCTGAGCGAGCGCTGCACCTGCTCAGTGCTCTTGGTCTCTACATGCTTAAGTGATGGTGAGAGAGGACCTTACAAACCCTGGGAGTGGGTTGTTCTGCACTGATGGGACATGTGCTGTCCATTTCCAGCTCCCGGATTGCCTTTGGGAAACGGGGTTAAGAAGAGAGGGATCCGAAGAGGGGTGGGAAAGATTCAGATGTGAGGAGGAGGCGTGAGCATTCTACGTTGAAGAGAAATTTTGAATGGGATCCTGAAACTAATAATGATTTCACGGTGTTAAACATGAGCGATATGACTTTGCTTTTGTGTGTGTGTCTTGTTACTGTTAGGTCATTGAAGTACTGATTCGATCTGAGGAGGGACTTTCCAGAGACATGGTGAAGCACCTCAACAGCATTGAGGAACAAATTCTTGAGAGTCTCGCCTGGACTCGGGATTCGGCGCTGTGGAGTGCCCTCCAGGCCTCAGAAAACAAGGTCCCAACCTGTGAAGAAGTATGTTACCTGTTTTCCTTCTAATAGGAAATTTGTGTTCTTTTTCTTACTGTTGTTTTATACAGAAACTTTCAAATCAGACAATTGCTGCAGAAAAACTTCTGTTGATAGATTGGCACAAAGAAGGGAAATCTATTTGTTATCTTACACTGACATTTCTTATTTCTCAGGTAATATTTCCCAGTAATTTTGAAGGAAGCAATGGAGGAAGTGGGCTTGGGCACTTGCCTATGATGCCAATATCTCCTATAATTCATCCTCGAGTAAAGGAGGTTCGGACAGATCTTGGTGGGAGTTTAAGACGAGGTATGTTCAAGGTCTCTGATATGATTTGAGTGTGTGAATTTGGGGGCAGCTGGACTACTTTGTAATTGTAAAGAGCAATCTTGAATCTGAATTAACCGTTCAGGATGGTGAAGTCTCTTCTTTGGTCAAGAAGTGTAGGTGCATCCGGTCAAACTATTGCTGTATCTTACTGCAGCAGACATGGCTGATGATGCTTCACTTCTCACCTGGAGCAGGTTTGGACACTGTTTTGATGCAGGGGTTACCTTACTCTGAGGTACATTGTCATCCGATGGCTTATAGTCCTTTGCTATTTAGATTTTTCCAGGGTTTTTTTTTTGTGCTCAGTGAGATTGACTGGATTTTAGGTGACTTTTTTCAAAAGTATAACCTCCTCTTTGCGGTTTCCAGCATTTTTGATAGCTCTTACTACTGTTGCATTCACATTATCAGTTCTTTCCTTCAGACCCCAATCTCCCTGTTGCTGCTTTTTTCTCCCCTAAGTCCTGTGGCGGTTGCCACTGTCACCACTGCATTATGGAATGACAGAGCTGCATTGATTCCTGCTTCCTACAGAATGTTTTTTGCCAGAGGGGAGGACAGTGGTTTCTCTGCAGTGTTATTTTCTGGGAAGAACTGCTTTGGTCTTTGCAGATTCCCAGGTATTGCACAGAACTGTCTCTTGACTCAGGGTGAAGAGGCGGTGGCAGCACTGCTGTTGCTTTTCTGTACTTCCCTAGTTAGGAATTGCTGCTTCGTTGTATCCCAGACAATAGTCCAGAGGTTTTTGCTGGTGCACTGTGGCCTGAGTGGTGGTGTGATGTTGCCTCCTTTTGTGTTTGTCTGGCTAGTTGCATTACAAAACTGTTTCTTTTTCTGATGTGGTGGTTTGTTTAGGTTTGTTTTTTTTTAATGCTCATTAGGAAAGAGATGTATGAGCAGTTGCTGTAGGTGTTGTGGTTAGTTGTTTGATGGAAAGGAAAGCAAGTTGGGGATGGTGAGTTATATATGGTAGGGCTGTGTGAGACTTTATCTTGTATAAGGGAATCTGGTACCAAGCGCTCCTCCCAACTTCAGATGGAAAATGGTGGGGACTGGAAATGTTCATTTGCCCCTGGTACCAAGAAAACCATCCTGGCAGAGTTAGAAGTAAAGTCTCCAATCAGTCTTACCTGGCCAGTTAGCCAAAAGGTTTCTGCTTTGTGGGAAGTAGGAAACTGCTGTCACTGGTCCTCACAAGTGGCTAAAAAACCAGAGTTACAGAAGCCTGTAAATTCATATTGTGTACTTCAGTCTTTCTGCTGGAGCAAATTAGCCTGATTGTGAAACTGAGCTAAAGGAGACAGTTAAAGGACTATAGGTATTGTTTGTATTGCCTAGGAACCGTGAACTGTGAGATTAGTTCTTAACTGGAAGTGATTTCTTGTACTCCAGTTCTGTAGCTGGAAGGTTAGCCTTTTTCCCTCCTGTGGAGAAGTATTTCCATGAAGCTGCTCCTCCTAAGGGTGTTTGGTTTTTTTCTCCTTTGCATACTAGACATGCAGCTGCTGTCACCAATCTCTGTTCATGAGCGCTACAGTTCTCCTACAGCTGGAAGTGCTAAGAGAAGGCTCTTCGGAGATGACAGTCCCAAAGAAATGCAGATGGAAAAAATTTTAACTGAAGGAACTAAGTTGACAATTTCTCCAGCATCAAGCATTGCTGCTGAAAATGTATCTGTTTCTCCTGGCCAGACAGTACTGACCATGACAACAGCTACAGTACCAGGAAAAACAGGACAGAAGGTTACTATCCCACTGCACGGTATGAATTCTTCCCATTTTTCTTCTCTACTAGATGTTTTCGTAGAATCACAGAATGGTTTGGGTTGGAAGGGACCTAAAAGCCCATCCAGTGCCACCCCCTGCCATGGGCAGGGACACCTCCCACTAGCCCAGGTTGCCCAAAGCCTCATCCAGCCTGGCCTTGAACCCCTCCAGGGATGGAGCATCCACAGCTTCTCTGGGCACCCTGGGCCACTGCCTCACCACCCGCACAGGAAAACATTTCATCCTCACATCTCATCTCAATCTCCCCTCTTTCAGCTTCAAAACTGTTCCCCCTTCTCCTGTCCCTGCACCCCCTGATC